AACCTCGGCTAAACAAAACACACATACAATCTCATAACAACCGGAAACAGTAATAACACATGAACACACACCCATAAATACACCCACAGCCACCTCTCACGGTGGCTAGTGGCGGCGGAATAAGGCAGCCACGGCGGCGTAGCGGCAGAAGATAGCGGCGGCAGCGAGACAGCGACCACACACACACCACTCTCGAGATCCGGAGGCAGCCACCCACCTGGTGCCGCTCATCAAACGGCAACAACGTCGCTCTTGACCGACGGTGGCGGCGTTGCAGCGACGGGATAGGATGGCAGTCGGGAAGACAGCAACGACTCGGAGGGGAAGAACAGCAGCGCTACGACGGTTCTTACGGTGGCTGGGGCAGCGACACGACACAGTAGTCCTTCGAGATGGCAATCGCTGACCGGAGCAACGGAAACGAGTCCTCCGGCGACGACAGCGGCAATGTAACAGTAGCGGCGGCGTCATGAAAGCTTCTAAGGTGGCGGCTGTAACAGAAGAAGAAGATGGAATGGCGTATGACACAAACTTTGTCACCCGCTTGGTCGTCGTCGGCGAAGAAGATGCAGCGGTTTGCAGCGGCGGCTAGGGAGGGAACGGTGGTGGAGAGGCAAGGGTGGAGATGTGGCGCCGGTGAGGAAGGCATAAGGGGGGAAAGAAGATGACGGCTGCTAACTCTTGAGCTATGGTTAGGGTTATGGGTATTATATACCCCGTCCATTTAACAACTTTCCCATAATTATAGTTCTGGTCCCTCCCCATGGGATCTTTTCAAATTAAATCCAATATTTATCCTTTTGCCCCTTATTCCATAATTTTCTTTCATAATAAGTCCTAGTAATTACCGAACATACCCCCGCTTCTAAAATTCTTCTCAAATCAACTATGTAATTTACTAAACAGCCCTCAACTATCAAAATTCTTCACAATTTAGTTCGGGAGTTACATTTATTAATTTATTTGTTTATTTATTAATTAAACGGGGTGTTACAATATCTTAAGTTGGGATCTTCCCCAGAATATCTTAAGTTGGGATCTCCCCCAGAATATCCTAAGTTAGGATTTTTCCTAAAATATCTTAAGTCAGGATATTCCCCAGGATACATTAAGTTGGGATATTCCAAAGAATGTCTTAAATTGGGATTTTTCCTAGTAAAACTCTAGGTTGGGTCTCCAACCAATGAATTACTATGTTGGAACTATCCCAATATTACCTGAATTCTAAATCTAAGGGCATGTCAAGAAAAATTCTCCTAATAATTGGATCGGAATCCTAAAGAAGAAGTTCAAAAAAGTAGTTATAGGTCTAATGAAAATCTAAAGAAGAAGTTTGCATCAGGTTCTATTCATCCTTATCTTTTGATGAAAAGACTTCCCTACCCTTTTGATCAAAATTTATCTTTTCAAATCTCATGACCCTAACTATCTCAAGATCCTGATCAAATAGCTCGGATCTTTAGGATCCCAAAGAATTTTTGCAAACTCTAAAATTCTTAGAATCCAAATCGTCTAAGAAGCTTTAGAAAAACCTGTTGCAACGACATCAACCTAGCAAGAAAAAAGAGATAAACCAAATCATTAAAATAAAAGGGGTTCCCCACTAACCCCACAAAAAATATTGTTTTACATACCAAAATTTCAAAATGTTTTTAAACTAATCAAACTTAATCCTAGGCTTGATCACCCTAGTTGGGGTCTTCTATGTCTTCTTTTTCTTCTCTTCGTCCTTCTTCTTCTTCTTCTCTTCCTCTTCCTTCTTCTTCATCTCTGCAGGATCCTGATCAGCATTAAAAGGCTTGCCAGTGATTTCAGTTAGGGTTTCATGCCAAGCTTCCACATTCTAGGATCCTACGTTCTCCACGTCCTCCATCAACTTGATCTTTGCCTCCCAGATGGCCTCAATGGCACTTCTTCTGAGTTCGAAAATCACCTCCTTGATCTCCAGGGCGTGCTCTTCCTCTTTGTGATTTCTCCTTGCTCAACTTCTCCACCTTCTACACAAGATCCTTGTTGATCCCATCTTGCTCCTTTAACGCATGCTCTGCCCGTTCAGCCATGAGCCTTAGATCCTCAGTAGATCGAGAGACATGATCAGCAACTTGTGGAAGATCATGATAAGTAAACGGTAGTAGAGTATAAATAAGCTTGAAAATACTTACAGATTGCAAGAAGGAGATTAGCTACAACAGTGCATCCTCCACTCCAAGGTTCTTTAGGCCAAGGTATGCGGTTCCTGTCAACTTCCTCTTCTTAGATCCTGGATTCATGACGACCAGTTCTATCGATTTCCTCTTTGGAGGGAGAGAGGATGAGGCCTTTTCCTTCTTAACAACGAGTTGGCCAGTGGATATGGCGGAGTCGATGTAAGCAAGGGTGAACCAAGTGCTAGAACATGTAGCCTTGGATCTTGCGCAAAGAAACTTAATCAGATCAAGATCCTTCAAATAAAATAGACGATTGAAGGATCCTCACATGTCGACATAAGTCGCATATGAACTCTCTTGGAAGTTGGGTGGCTCAAACCAGAAGGATCTCTCGGTCTCGAGAAAATCAAGGAAATTCCCAATCTTCTCCTCGGTATCCTCAGCGGCGGGATCGAGATCATCAAAATTGAAAGCTACATCAAAACAAATAAAATAAGAAAGCATGAATTCCAGGACCCTTAATATAACAAAATAAGATCCTACCCTTGTTTATCCAGGTTTTTGGCAGGAGATCCCTGCCGAGGATAGAGTCACGCCTCACAAAAAAATATTTTTCTTTCCAAGTGTCGTCATTGTGTTTCAATTTCAGGATAAGAGGTGATTTATTAATTTTGACTTTGATCAGGAAACGAGAATTCCCAAAAGTTGAAAGATTCTAGACATAGGCCAACTCAGCTAAACCTATGTCTAGATCATTTGATCAATTCAATCAATCAACGCAGGACAGGATCCTCCAAATTACAGGCATGGCTTGGATGTATGAAATTTTTGTGACTTTGAAAAACTCAGAAACGATACCAGAAAAGGGGTATGACAAACTCAAAGAAAATGGGTATTCAGGAAAGCAAACTCAGGAAGGAGAGACAAAGTATGGTTGAGCTTTGACATCAAAAGGCTTGAAGACGACATCAGATGGAAAAGCGCGAACCGATTTCAAAGACTCGATATCGTTGTCATCAAAAGAACAAGTCTCATCGTAAGACAGTATCTTTTGATCAACAAAGTCTTCGTCGGAAGGAACGATAATGCTAGCACAAAAATGGAGCATCTTCTTTCCCATGATCAAAGACTAAGAAAATTAAGAAGAAAAGATCAGCAAAGAGTACCTTTAAAGACAACTGATAACGTTTGAAAGAAAGCTGGAACAAGTAAAGAAAAATCAGGAACCCAAGCACCCTATTTATGCAAAGATTACATAAGAAAGAGAAACTATTTCACAGATAATTATGCCTACATTAACGGCTAGAATTCTATCCGTTAGAATTTAAATCTTTCGATCTGTTAGGATTCCGGAATCCTTATTTTCATTTTCATTTTTGTTTCAATTATATAATGAAAATCTATTGCCTCCCCTCCCTCCACGAGTAGATATTTAGTATTGAATAGTGTCAAACCCATTATACTCTTTCAAATATTAGGAATTAATCCAAAACATTTTGCAGGTATAATTTGGGGGCAATTAATTTGGGGCAAGATCTTCAATCCTATCCAGGATCCCGGATCTCAAAGAAATCTAAGCATCCCGAAATATATGTCAGAATCCTGACTATCATGATTATTATTTCCTAACAATATTAATGGCTATATTTCTTGTTTATTCCTTACTTATGCATAAATAGTTTGTACTTTGATCATCATTTCTGTAATTTGTTTTCTAGTCAATAAAATCAAACGAGAACGAGGCAGGTGATCATTATCACCAACAAAGGTTTTATGTCGAAGATCCCATCAAGGATCAAGGGCTTTCCTTGTAAACCACTCTTGTCATCTTAATTTCAATTCGATTCTTGTAATAGCTACAACACCACAACCTCTCATACAACTTGGTTGATTTTCATCTGATTGATTTTTGACCAAAACAATATACACACCCATTATAAGACAATGCTTAGTTCTCCTATCCGACCGATGTGAGATCAAGGATCTCCTTCTCTTCTCTCTCCTTCTACATGGTCTGACATCCCTGTCAAATGCATAGACCTCGTATGCCTAACTCCAATACCCTTTGTAACATCCCCAAAGGCACGTACCATAATATTGCCCGCTTTGATCTACCCAAGATGGAAACTTCACAGAGATGTAATGTTTAGTTATCACACACTAACCGGGTAAGAGAACTGAGCATTATCTTATAAGAGGTATGGATACCTACCTATCACAATGTGTTTTAAATTCAAGCGGGACAACAAATATCATAAGAACTCTAAAGTTAAGCATGTCATGGGGAGAGCAATTTCAATATTGGTGACCCTTGAGAAGTTTTCGTGTCGAGTGGCCCAAGCAGACAATATTGATCTTTGTAATGTATTAGAAAGTTAAGTTTTCTGTTAACTTGAACCGATTAAATGATGGATTAAGTTTTAGTAACTAGCCAATCTCAATTTAAGAAAACAAATTCGTAAAAATGTTTGAAGACTACGTTAGCCAAAGAAAATCAAAGTTAATATTCTAAGGACTTGTCGGTTCAAATTTATTAAATATCAAATTGGAGGCATTATCGGTTCACTGTTCTCTCAGTTATTAAAAATAAGAGGAAGTTGTAACTGTCAAACCGGAGCACTTATCAGTTTATGGTTCTCTTAGTGGTTAACAAAAGAGGAAATCATATAAACATGGACTGATAGTTATTAATTTGATAGTTGTCGAACATAAGTTACTCCATCAACTCTTCCCATGATCTTCACAGTAAGGATTAACTACCTTATATCCAAAAGTACACATAGATCATAACAATCGAGTGTAACTGGATTTTATGTGTATGAAATTCAAACTAAAGAGCTTTAAGTTTTATGAATTTGTGAAATTAACTCTTCACATATATTTTGTAATTTGATTTTGCTTTAGGGGTGTCATTTAAAATTTTTTAACCATTAAACCGGGTATTATCAGTTCATGGTTCTCTCTGGTTGTTTAAAAAAAGAAACTCTTGTATATAAACATCGATTGATATTTATCAATTTGATGACCGTCAAACATAAGTAACTCTCTCAACACTTTCCATGATCTTTAGTGTGAGGATTAACTTCTTTATATCCTAAAGTACACATATAATGATATAACAGTGCATAGCTGAATTTTGTGTGTATGAATATCAACATAGAGAGCTTTAAGTTTTATCATTTATGCCTTTGTGAAGTTAATATCTTCACATTTGTTTTGTAGTTTGATTACGTTTTAGAAATTTCTCCATGTATTTGATTATACCCATCAATCATTTAATTCAAATTCATAATTTAATCCATGTGTCAATTTAATCTTTTACTTAGTATTCATCTCATCCTTTTACATATAACAGCTTCTACAAACTAATTTATTTATTGATAATATCAATAACGTAGGCATAAATAACTTAGGTATTTGAAATTGGTGACCAAAACCTATAGTTGCTATTTATCATTTTCTAATAAATATAAATGGGCATGTGACACATGTTCCATCGGTTTCATTGTAATGTCGTTATTTGCTTATTATAATATCTATTGAACACTTGTACCAAACATGAACATTATCTGATACAATTAACTCAAATTATCGCTAAATTTTAGGAAAATCATTTTTGTGGCCTAACCTGGTTTATTTTATTTTGAGTTTTCTTATTCAGTTCGTACTTGAAACATACAGAATTTACGAATCAACTTTTAGGTTTTAACATAAATAAACCGGATTTCAAATTTGGTTGGTTGGTCTAAAATCAAAATGAACAAAGTTTACTTGCTATTGAAGGAAAACAACTTCATACAAACACTACAAAAACATTCATGCCACGTTAAGATATTTTAATAGAATAAATATAGTATACTAAATTTCAACATTTACATCAAATCGAAAATCAATAAACGAGATTCAAAAAGGAATCCTAAAACAAAAATATTAATTAAATCAGTTTATGAAAGTAAACATCTGGTCGTTGTAGTATAGTGGTAAGTATTCCCGCCTGTCACGCGGGTGACCCGGGTTCGATCCCCGGCAACGGCGTTTTTGACCTTTTTTCTTCCAACGTTGTATTTTCCAAAGACGTCGTTTTCCTCTACGGATATTTTCTGTAATTGAATCTTGCCCTGCCTTCCACTCCTCAGTTTCTTGCCGATAAAGAGACGCAAACATTCCAAATTTCAGCTTCAACCCACCAACACCACCACCTCATTCTCGATCCAATATCCACAATCCGCCACCACTAATCAACCAAATGACCACCGCCGACCACCGTAACCTAAAGAGCACCACCATCCACGTCATGGCATTAGACGGAATCGTGAACGTCAATTCCCTTTTCACACTCGGTCTCTTCCTTGGTCTTGCCGTTAACCCCGCCGACCCAAATTACACCCTCGTGGACTCCTCCTCCGCCACCACATGCCTCATGTCCTCTTCCACCGCAGAGAACCTGGTCGCCTTCCATGTCTACTCTTTCAGTTCCTTCCTGTTCTCGAGCCTTATTGCTTTCGGGCTCAAACAAGCCATTAGAACAGCCAAAGATGGGGATACGCGGATTCAGGTGAGTGATGACACCATCGCACATGTTAATTTGAGGGTCCTACGAGCTGGGATTTTGGCGTCGGCTGCTGGATCGGTGTCTGGATGTTTGTTTTTGACTGCTGCGCTGGTTGATTTGGTTGAGATTAAGCTCGGGAAATTGGGTTGTTCCGATTGGTATGGTGTGGCTGCGGTTGTGCCGTTGGTAGTGTTGGTGCCTTTGGCTCTTGTTTTTTATATATGCATTGTGTTGCATGCATTCGCTACTTAGTAGCTTCATAATTGTATTCTACAAATATTTATAAGTCAAATCAAGAAAACGCATTGTTAAATTTTTTTATTTTATTGTTAGAACTAGTTGTGAGACCCGTATATTATACGGGTTGATTAAAACAAAATGCTAAGTACGAACGTTTAAATTATGAGAAAAAAACATGCAAAAAATAAATAAATTAAAATTATGAGTTTAGTTATCAGACTACTAAACTGGTTAATTATAGAAAAATGGTAAACACAAAGGTTTAAATTGTAAATTTATTTGAAGTTGAATTTGAAATTTAAAATTTAAAATTTGAAATTAATAGTCATTATGGTAGGGTTAATTTATGGAAACTAAATTAATGATATATTGGAAATAAAAATTGAAATAAATGACAAGTGGAAAATAAATATATCTCAAATTTATGACAAAATGACATGTGGCCAAGTGCATGAGAGAAGAACATGTGGCAAAATCATTCTCATTTATTAGGGTAGATGTTAGTGAGTTATATGTTGACAAATTACATTTTATCCCCCTTGTTCCTTTAAGTTTCGGTCAAGCGGCCATTGCAGATAACGTTTTTGCATTCTTGAAACCACTGAAAAATAAAAGAATAATCTTTCAAGAAAATGGAACATTAAACCATTGATGATGGAGACTAGAAATTGTACAATTATGCATCTAATGTAACTTTTTAAGGTCAATTAAGCATCTAAAATTTTTTTTAAGTACAACTTCAAGAAAATGGAACATTAAACACTTGATGATGGTACAGGTTATTTGTATCACGGTTATTTGGGTGTTGTGGTAATATTGGAACAGTGTCGTGTTTCAAACGTTCAAGATCCGTAAGAGTCATATTTTGAAAGTATTATTACTCATGCTTTTAATTGGTTCTCTGATAGGAGTAGTAAATGTAAAATTTATTGGTTCCAGTGGATTAAAAAACCTTTTATGTAAGACTCTTTGTTATTGTTTTTTCTCGCTAACTTCTTGCTAGTGTAGTTTTTTTTATAAAATTTAGTTGTTAAAAAAAAGATCATAATGAAAAAACTTCAAACTAATATTATGTTGATAGAGGAACCATAGACAGAAAGTAGCGACCAAGAATTATTTTTCATCTACTAAAACCTTTTTATAATTTTAATATGTATAAATGGGTTCCCAGTCGTCTACTGTGGCTCCCTCTTTTTGCAAGGATAGGGGATAGATTGGGCTCGTCTTTTAGACGATATGCTAAAACACAAAAGTATGTTGCACACCCTTGTTGATAATTTTAGTGTCACTTGACATTCTGTGTAATTGAAACTGACATGTGAGCTAAAGGTTTTATCGTTTGCACTTTATATTATATGTTTGGTGAATGCGGAGTGCATGTATATATAAGATTGAATTATAAGTCGGTACGACAAAAATGTGGGGGTCAAGTGGTCCTAGGGGCAACGCCCCTAGCGGGGTCCAAAGGGCAGAGCCCCTGGCGGTGGTGTGGGCAGCGCCCCAAAAGGTCTTCAAAAATTTGAATTAGTTTCATTATGAAAAATTTGAATTCTAGTGGGTGATTATGGTAAGATTGACAAATCTTGTCAGTTTTGGAAACCATTGATTATGCCATTAATTCCGAGATTTGTGTAACTAATTTAGAAGATTAAACCCTAATTTGTCATGCATATATACGGCTCTTCTTTTGAGTCGTAAGGGAACCATTTTTAACTCTCATTCTTCTTGAACAAACTAAGAATTCTCTGGCGATTTGGCTTGTGTTTCTATGCCTAGATACACAAGCGTCCATTTGCATTATCCTAGACTGGATTTCTTGTAACCAAGAAATACCCAAGCATATAGTGGAATTATCAGTTCGGAAAGTGAACTTACACGATCCATCAGTAATCCGGTTTTCCACCAATACCCTACTCATACATTGAAACATCCCAAAAATACAGACCAAAAATTTCTTTTCAAAATCATTTATAATAAAACCATAAGTCATCCATCATCATAAAGAAAGCCATGAATCATGTATCTCAGAACATTGTGCCAAATACCGTATCAAAATCATATGAGAAAAATATCATAGTCTAAACATCCCAGGCTGAAACTGTGGTGTGTGCCTTGCGATCATCCTGAGCCCTTCCCCTTACTAGTGGAACTACCTGAAACCAAAACTGAAAACTAAGCACGAAGCTTAGTGAGTCTCCCCAACTACCACATATCATACACATATCACATAACATATCTTGGGCCCCGCCCCTGCTACATCGAGTCAAGCTCGGCATGGCTTTCCCGGCATCGGGCCCCGCCCGACATCGAACCGTATTCAGCATCGGGCCCCGCCCGGCATCGAGCAGATCTCGGCATACATATACATATCAACAACATATAACATAAGCATATACCCTAGCATGAAATCATTCCTCGGGCCCCGCCCGACATCGGACCGAGATCCGGAAACATACTAACATTCCTCGGGAACCGCCCCGGCATCGGACCTAAGCCCGGAACACATGCAAGTATCACAAAGACATCAAGCATACAAGCATACAAGCATTCCTCAGGACCACCCCGGCATCGGATCGGAATCCGGAAAACACATAAACCTACTTCGGGCCCCGCTCGGCATCGGACCGTGGTCCGGAACTACTCCTATCTAAACGGGCCGGCCTCGGTGCCTTAGACCCGTTCCTACTGGAGAAAACTCACCTCGCAAAGCTGTCCGCAAAAAATCACGGTGAGGAATATCTTATGGCTGCTCCAACGACTCCCCGGCTATCAATATCACAATAATACTTAGTCAAAACCTGATAATCCATCTCAGGGTAAAATGACCATTTTACCCCTGGTCAAAGTCAACATCCTGGTCAAAGTCAAAGTCAAGGTCAACTCCTAGTCAACCCCAACTCGTCGAGTCATCTCCCAACTCGGCGAGTTCATGAACAATTCAGACCCGTGATCAACTAAGTCAACTCGTCGAGTCCCTTCCCAGACTCGTTGAGTTCTTCCTGTCATAACATTGGGACATATCGACTTCAACTCGTCGAGTCCCTCCTTGGACTCGTCGAGTTCTTCAGCTTCCGAGTCCTAATC